AGTTTTATGGAAAACATAAGCTATCACTGTCTCAGAAATTAGCCATAAATTTTTAAAGACTTGTTGGATTAATGATAAAAGGTTGGGTTTTTTTTTTTGAAATTATAGTTATCAGCTAACTTTGGAAATTGGTGGTGGAAGCTTATATCAGAAGCAATGAGAAAGTAGATTGTGAGACCCTGTAAATTACTGTCCTGCAATTTTTTTTAAGCTGAAGTCTGAACAGTAGCAAATGAAATCTACTTTTTAAATATTCACTTTTGAAGTCTCCATTTACACATATACCTAAAAACTTGTCTAAATATCTGTCTTTTGGGGAGTGGGTTTACAATGGCTTTGTAAATAGTCAAGCAATACCTAGTTCTGATGTAGAAACACCATAAGAAGATATGTTTGAAAATAACTTAGATGATATCTTCCATTGTAACTCTGAAGATAATTTTATGCAATTAAAAGCTTAAATTTGAGTAGTTTATGCATAAACAATTAAAACCTAACCCCAAACCTACAAATTTCTGTATGACAAGAAATATCAGCCCTCCAGGTTTACTTTCTCACTAATTAGCATTGTGATAAAGTTTGTTTGTTAATAACTGGCATTTTAAACACTTATTTGGGTCAGTTTCCAGATATGTAACTGTGGCAGAAATCTGTTGTACTCTTCCTTGATGATTTGCCAATTGTGTTGACAAATTCTTTGCTGTGTCATATTCCATTAGGCTTGTCAGCTAACAGTGTGGTCGCTACTGAAGTGTTTTACTTTTAAACTGAGAAGTACTTAAAAAAGCATGTCACTTAGAGATGGCTATGTTTGGATGTAAATTATGCTAGAGTACAAGAATACCTTTTTTTTTCCTCCCCAAATTCAGAGATTGTTCACAACTCCATGAGCTAGATAATGTAAAAAGAGAAGCGTAAAGTTACTACTCTGCAAAAGAGGGTCAATCTGTTCAGGGAATTAGCAAAAATACAGTTAATTACTTTGTAGCTAAAGTGATGTGGCAGTTTATTCAAAATGAAGGTTAAATCTCTGTTGTCTACTGCAGTGTATAGAAAGTACCCAAGTTTTCCTTAACTGACTAGTTTAGGTACTGGTAATAGTTTAGACCTGACAGCACTGGATGTTTTTCCCATCTTCTGATATAACACACACACACACAAAACGTTCCCTCCTTTCCTGCACCACTTCCCCACCCCCCCACCCCCAATGCTGAAGTTATGTCCATCTTTTAAACAGAAAAGCAGTTAAAATGCAACAGATTTCAAAACATGTTAGATTAAATGTGTGCTTAAATGCTCTACTGATTCAAGCTCTTAGAACAGATGCAAAGAAGCAATGGAATAGAAGGCTACATTAACTGTCCGTGCCAAATACTAATTGAAGGGTGCTTTAGATTAAAATATATCATGCCAGATCTGACAGCCTGAGGGGGGTGAGGCTGCTGCTGCTCCATGTCCCCAGGTCCAACCAGTAGCAAAAATGAAGATGTATTCCCAGTAGGTATGCACACAGAGAACCCACATACACCAAATATATACACAGATCACAAACGCTCAAGAGCACTCACACAAACACAGACAGCACCAGTGGCCTCATTCTGCTCCCCTCTCTGATTGGACAGGCTGGAAATCCACTAGTGAGAGTGGACACGTACATATGTATACATGCATATGCACACATAATAGAAAGCCCATACCCAGAAAAGTGTTAGAAAGGAATTTAATAAGAAGATAGGACAGAGGGCGCTGATCAGGCACAGAGCACAACGAGACAAACTTATTAGCCAGCAAACTATTTACATGTGACTGGCCCTTTTTTCCCCCTTATCTCTCTATTTTCCCCACTCTTGTTCCTCCCCAAATCACCTAAAACCCTCTCTTGTCCTCTCTTTGGTTCCTCCTCTAAACATCTCATAAGTCCTGTGCTATCCCAAACTGCATTTCCCCCATATCCCATAATGTGTCCTACATACCTAGGCAGCAATCCCCCTGTTAGACAGAAAGGTGATCTGGAGAGCAGCTGCCAATAACTCATGGTGATGGGTTTCACGCCTGGACAATGGGGCCAATGGCTTTGCTAGGATAGCCCTGAGAGGGACCCGGGCAAGGTGGTTGTTCCTCCTGAGTCCTTACTTGGGTTCTTATCTGCCACTATACACCCCTGTGCTCCTCTGGGCCTGAGCAGATGGACCTTTGATGGGCTGACAGCCTCTGTGGTGGGCCTGGGAGTAGCCCATCAGAGTATTATTTGGGCTCATATTATCCTGCCAGTGTCTCTCTGAGCTCTTTTGTGGGTGCCAAGATGAAGTTTATCACATAACCCAACAGGGCGAGTCAGCCACATGCTGACTTAGAGGTTGTTGCTTCATGAAACATCACTATAAGGCTGAATTGTATAGCAAGTCCTCATGCTTTACAATAAGGAATTCTAATATTTGACCAGAAGTTAATAGGGGATGCACTACAATGCAAAATGGCAACTTTTCAAGTGCGTGATTTAAGGACCACCAGTGAGGGAAGGATTTTTATCAACCCAAATAATGCTGGCTCAAGATTTGTTTGCACTAAAAAGAAACCATCAGATATAATGAGACATTACCTGTTTCAATATGGAAAAAAAACCACAACCAAACAGCAGCAACAATACCCCTTTTCAATAAACACATACTCTTATGTTTTAAATAAAGGTCAGATATATTGACTTGATAAGCATTTGCTAATATTCTGCCAGAGTAATAACTGAAATACTAGTAGCAAGCATAATGTTTAATGGTCTTTGGAAGTAAAGTGCATTTTGAAGAGTTTATTGATATTTAGATGGGAAGGAGATTTACCCTGTTGTAAAAATATGAAGAGGGTTTTTCTGTTTAAAAATCAAAGCACATCAGGTACAGCTCAGCAGTTAATTACGCTTCTTACCTTTAGGGAGTGCCACAATAATAGTAGATTTAACTGACAAATAGAGAATTTTCCTGTTACAGTCCCCATCTTCTGTCTACATCTCCAGAACACAGTCATCTGAAAACTGATAGGCTGATAACTGTCCATAGTCTTTGCATTCTTCACTGAAAAAATGTGGGAATCATGCCTGAGACTAAGTGCAGAAGCTTTAAAAAGTACAACCGGAGTTCACTCCTCCCAGCCTTACACATTTCAGCCTCAGAGTTACTCAGTTATCTAAACATCTGTGCTGTTTTCCTCATTAAAATCAGTGGCATATTGAAATATAAAATTTTATACAGTATTCAGAATACATACAGTAGATTCTATAAAAATGTTGACAACAGTTAATAATAAATAATATACATATTATTTACAATACTGCAACGAATTACTAATTAAATGAATGTTTAAATGCATGAAAAAATCAGGACAGAATGAACATAAATCTGACTTTCAAGAGCTTTTGCAATTCATTCAGGATTAAATCCACAGATGCTAAAATGAAATATGTTTGCTCTGCAAGCACCTGTTGTAAAGATTTTAAATTAAAACAGTTTACTCTGGAAGAGACAAAGGATTTTTGGTTGCCTTTTATTTTTTTAACCTCAGGAGTGGTCATTTTTATGAATTTATAAAAATTTCACAGTTGGAATTGTTACTGTTTAAGAAGGTCATCTGGCAGCCAAAATCAAAGAAAAAATAGGCAAAATAGACGTAACAAAATGAAGGCTGAATAGGCCTTTGAAAGATATTTTATAAGGCATAGTTTATTACTGGTAAAATTACTACTCACATGAATTTGGGTGTTGTAGTGAGAAGGTAGAAAGCTGCCACAGCCCATATGAAGTCCCTGATTGTGTTTCCATGCTGAAGCTCCTTGCTCCTTTTTAAGATAATCGATTTTTTATAAAAGAAACCTAAAAGTTTCATCAAATAAGTCATGTCATATGAAAGTCATATGAAATAAACTGGAAAAATTATTTTACTTGTTGATTTTTGTTCTTTATCAATTTTAATTGTTTGAATATCATGTTGTTACTTTGTAGGCAGCTCCAGTTATTTCTTGTAGACCATAAAGTACAGTATAACTGCATAAAAGCAAGCTTTCAGAATCTTACCCAGTGCTTAAAACAGTTGAGGTAGCTTTTTAATTCAATTGTAATGCAAATATCAAAATACAAATATTAAAAACTACCTGTGTTTTTATCAGGTAGGAGTCAATCCTGCAGTCCCCTGAACTTTGCTAGTTTTCAGTGAGAGTTCTTACAAGTACAGTAGCTAGAAAGATTAGACACAGTGTTCTGGGTCAGGACACCTTCTAACACAACAAGTCAGATATAAAACGTTAGTGCATCTATTCAGGCAGCACCCAGAGTCTCCCTGTCCCTCCACATGCACACAGAACACACAGAACAGCTTTATCCATACATGTTAGATTAAGTTTATAACCAATAACAGGGTTTTTGTATGCTCCTACTAATAATCATTGATTGCACGACTCATGTAACATATTGTGTACTAACAATGAATCCTCAGAAATACAAGCAGAGGTTTACATTATATGCAAATTGAGTCCCATTGTCAATAACAGAGCTGCTCACCTGCAGGGTGTTAAGCATGTTCATAAGTATTTGCAAGGTGGAGGGCCTCAGGTTCTTTTCACATAAATTCAAAACATTCTTTACAAAAAATTCAAAGAAAGGTATTTTTAATAATTTCAAGAAAATTGGCAGTATGGAATTAAGTGCTTGGTTGACTCTTTTAGACATCAAAAATCATTCAATACCTAATGCCAAATGCTTTTGAGATTAATTTACAAGCACAGGAAGTGGCTTAATGTCTTGTTTTTCGATTCTTGAGGTTGAGGATAACTGTACAAACATACTTGTTACCTATGGGCATATGCAATGTAAAAAAAACTATTACTGAGGAACTTATTGCAACATTCTTACCAAGACCTTTAAAAATACCTTTTGTGAATTTTCAGAGATTCTCAGTTTCACTGGTAGTCATTACAATAGTATTCATTTGTAAAGATAACTCTATTTTACTTTCAGATTCAAGGCCTCTACCAGATGTAGCCCTGACAGGGAAGTGTACCCGAGAGTGTGATGAATATGGCCACTCGGACTCCTGCTGGATGCCAGTTCGCACTTCTCCTGAAAGAAAGCAGAAGAGCCAGCCAAAACTCTCCACTTTCATGCCTGTCGATGAACGGGGCAGTCAGGAAAAGCTGGCCAATGGAGAAGCCTCCCTCATGGGTGATCGCAACAGAAACCTCCTTAACAAAAAGTTGACCTCATCCTATGAGACCTTCAGCGCAGCTAGTTTCAGCAAAAATGAAGAAGGCAATCCAGAGGATATCCCCCTTACACAGACAGGGGAATACAAGCCATCTCCTGTCAATACTCTAACTAGAAGAGAAGTTTACCTGTAGGCTAAAAAGCAGCAAGAAAGCTCTTTCATATTATAACAAAGAAAAGAGGCAAAATTCTTAAAATCGAAACAATTTTAACAAAAAATAAGAAACAAAAAAGAGGGGGCCACCAAAGAGACAAAAGATCTGCCTGCCACTTCTGCCTCCATAGCAGGCATTTAATTATACAGTCTGCCTGACTATACTGTACAATGTAGAAAACATTGCTGTTACTTGCATGTCTAATTCCCCCTCACTGATTTTTATTTTCCTAAATCTATGGTTGAAAATTCCTCCCATAGTAACGAGCTTGATTAAAAAGAACACCACACACTGTTGTTTCCCCTCTGCAGAAGCATGAGTTAAACCACTCATTTTGTTTGATTATCATCTGGCTTGTTGAGGATAACAAGTCAGGGAAAATGTATTCAAAACATATCATCTGAATATTGCTGATCCCCACCAGGGACAATCCTTCAGAAACCATACAGATATAGAGATAAATATAAAGGAATAATCATTAATAGGCACTTTGTGAAGACCACAGCTTTAATATTCTCACCTCTCATCTGAGGCTGGAAGCAACAGAAATATGTTCAGCCTGAGACTGCAGTGAAAAACATGGCATATTTCCTATGATTCATGAACTCTGGTTATGTTTTATCCATAGAACAAACGTGTTCTTGCTGTGTCTCTTTCTCTCCTCTCTCCTTCTCTGTAATGATTACTTCAACGTAAACACAATTAGTAACACATATACTGTAGGATAGTAACGATAAACTGTTGAAATCATTATTTTGGGCAAGACTAACATCTAGCTAGGAAGATCGTAATAACAAAAAGGCCAAAGATCACACAATGGATCAGGGGAACTGCTAAGTATTGGGGCTTGGCTTAGAAAACTAATATATTCACAAATACACACATGTACTCATAAGACACCTTCAGTTACATTTTGCACAGCAGCACAGTTCACAAGCCCAGATGACATAATTTTTTTTTTCCAGTGCGGTTCAGTTGAATGCCCAAAGGAACTGATGTGGGGTTTTTTGTAATGACATGCTATGTTGCAGCAGATGCTGCATATGATATGCTGCATATGCCAGTTCCAGGGAATTTTAAAGATCAAAATTAAAAACTAATAGTAGTAATAGAAGGCTGTGTTAATGAGAATGCTTGGTGGAATGGAAAGGGTGGACAATGGGATGATGCAGTGACAAGAGAATATTACAAGTCAAATACAAAACCTTCTTTTCAGAGTGCAAGGAATGATTGCTAAGTCTTTTGCCATCAGTGTTGCAGATTACCAATTGCTTCAATTATGTCAAAGATAGAATGAAGGTTTTCTTGAAACACAAGTGCATTAAAATCAAGAGAAGTGCAATACTAAATGATGTCAAGACTCAGAACATTTATGCTAGGTAGAAAATGGTCTGATAAACAGTGGTATGATACTCACCTAGCAGGTCAAGATGAGTCAAAAGGAGTCCAAGCTACCGTGATATGCAAGAGCTCTGGGCTGTAACGATTCTCATGGTGAGCGCTTCTTGAAAGGAAGAGGAAATGAAACAGGTTTTTGTGCAATAAAAGCAACAAAACGTACAGAACTTCAACCAGTTGCTTTGTAGCTGATGCTGTAGTAATAATGACAGACTGAGCTCAGACGTTCAGACAAAAGTGACAATCGAACAACACAGCAAGGACAGCTCGAGGGGGGGGAAAGCATTCAAATCCCTAGCTATTTAACCTGGTGTTAAGGCATGGCTAGATGGCTCTCTAGTATACTGTAGTCACAATGTAGCTTTGGGTAGTTTCTTGCTTTGAAGAATTGCATAGAAATAACCTTAAACAGCCTAAAGTAGAGGTTGGTAAATCAATACAACTCATCACATTTATCTTTTGAATTCACTTCTCCCTATAGTGGGATGTGCCATTATTGGCCATTTCGTTCTCCTCTCTCAAGTTTACTTTCTTCAAGTAACATTAGTTTGTGTATAGCAATTATGATGAATGGGCACATTTTAGAAAGAAAATATTAAAATCAAAGATTAATAATGATTGAACATTTTTATGTTTAATTATTTAAGTAATATGGAGAGATGCAAACTAGTACTTTGTTATGAGACTGCATACAGCAGTTACTGCTTTGTATAATCTGTAAGTACCTGTTTAAAAATGCTTTTAAAAATGCTTATGTAATGTATACACATTTTTCTTGCACGTTTCAACAGAATACACAATTGCATAACACAAACGTTCAACAGAATTTCCTTTAGTAAGATTTTATTTAATATTACACACAAAAAAATAAATTAGGTAGCTTGGTTCCACATATTCTTAGACCCTTTTTCTACAAAGCTAATAATATAGGTCATAGAAGACCTTCAGATTAAATGGATCAGCAGTCACTCAGCAATTTTTGCACCACATAAGACAGTCATTAAATACTTTACTTGTGTGCATCTCCTTAGATCTAAAATGGGTGTGGAGAAAAAAAAAAAAATTTCTATCTACTTTAAGTATTCACTGTAATTCTAGTGGAACTAGCCACTATTAATATCCTGATTACTCTTCTGACCTGGCATGACACACAAATATATTTTGTGTTTGTATTTTTCCTCTTTATTTGAAATAGGTTAAATCTAGTGCCACTCCATAAATAGAGTGCTTTTGTATAAAAATAAACAAATAAAACTATAAAAAATAATTAGGATGAATGCGAAATATGCAACTGTGCCTTTTATACCTATTATTATGGTAAAGTGGTAGTTGGGTTTGGACACTGAGGGATAAGGGGCTATTCCCAACTTTTTTGAACCTTTTTATTTACCTGTGTTTATTTTCTGAGAAATTATAGAAAATATATTTAAAAACAAGCCTTTTGCCAAACTCAGTTAATGGACCAGTCTTAAGCATTATTAACACAAGGCTGTGGTTTAAGTAGGTCTTGAGGATTTTTTTAATTACTATTTGTGTGGGGTTTGGGATTGTTTTCATTTGTTTTAATTCTGCTGCCTGGAAAACTATGATCAGTCTATATTACAGTTATTTAGCAAGGTGTCACCAGTTCATGTTGCCAGGAAAATTGACTTTTTTTTTTTTTAACTGCTTTTAGCCATCATCACATTTCAGTTGTACAGTATAGAAATCATCCTTTTATTTCCTTCAATGGGAAACTCAAATGAGCTTTGCATGTATTTTACATTAAGGCACCTTTATGGATTGATGCATTAATATATAACTTTATATGTATTAGAAAATTCAATAGCTTTGGTCTAAAATCTAATGCTCATTCTGGATCTCAGATCCACTATGTTTATTCAATATGGTTTCTGACTGGCCTGCTGCCTGAGTTTCAGGAAAAAAGTTAAACATTATTTTTATGTGGGGAAGAACTTAAATGGGATTGAAATGATTGGCTGTAAGGCTACCCTAGGAAGTTGTTAAGCAGGAAAACAAAGAATACGGATAAAGACCTTGCCATAAATCCATCCATCACCAAACACTTGTAAGGAACTTGAACAATGAAATATTTTTCCTTTTGTTTTATTGGTGATAAATATACAATGTTTCCTTAAGGAATGAAGCAGATGAAATAGCAATAGAAATGAAAGTCCATCAGTTAAGTTGTATTACTGACTGACGAGCATAAACAAGGAAGAAGACAACATTCACCAGCTACCTGGGGTATGCTTTCAGACAACTTTTTCCTAAATTTTAAAAGCACTTGCATTCAGTGTGGTACGATCTGTTTGTAATATTAATCATTGACTATTGTTCTGCAACTTGGATGTTGATAGTGAAGCAGAGAACAATTTATCATTGTTTATTATGAGTCACTATGCACGCAACTATGCTAAACATGGCAAAATGTATTAAACGCTAGTCCACCTCTATTTATGAAATATTTACATAATTTAATTTGCTTTTGTACAGTTTTATGTAAATAAATTGCTTGTCATTTTTGTCTCTGCAAATTAAAATATAACATGTTCAAACGGTTGCCCATTTGCCAGTGTACTTTCTCTGATAGGCTATTCAACTTTACTGGATTAAATCACATGCTAGTTTGCATATTTAACCTGTATTTTGCATGGCAAAGATGAAACTGCCTTTGTAACTGGCCACATCTTCAGCTGCTGATGTAGCTGAGGTTTTACCTGTCTACAGAGTGAAATTCAGTAGAGGTTATTGTCACTCAGGACAGCATACAGCTATTTTCACAGTAGAAATAAAGTACCTGTAATGATAGCAGTTGTTTCCAATTACTGTTCAAAAGGGCTCCTTATTAAGGTGTGTTTAAAACCTTCATATTAAGGGGAATAATAAGTCTTTAGTAAAAGCTCAGGTATTGCCATTATGGAATGGCAATTTTCTAATTATCAGCAAGGTTGTTATTTTTTCCAAGAAGTTTAGAAATAGTAACAAATCCTAAAGTGTCAGTGAAGCATTTATGCTGAAAAGAACAACACAATTAATGCAGCATTTCAGAGCAGAATGTGAAATAAAAATCTCCAGTTCTTTCTAGCTGTGAATCAAATTATCCATCTCAGCATAACTACAGATCAAGAAGAAAATCTAAGAAGCAGAAAGAGTTTATTCCTTAGCTGTCTGGATCAGACACTGCTTTTTTTGTTTGTTTGTTTTAAAAGAACAGGTTCTAAAACAGCCATTAAGTTGGGATTTGCATCAGTTGTAATATGTGAAAAATATATTTGTGGGAAGAGGGATCGAATGTTAAAACTCACCCTCCTCCCTGTTGTTTTCTACAAAATACAGTATTGCTATAGAGACCTTGCAAATCATTGTGTACAATTTCCCACTGAACACCACAGAAAGTGCTGTTTCTGTCTTTTTGCCTTAGTTACAGACTAGGTTTTGATTTTTGTGAATACAGGCTGGCCGGAACTTTTTTTTTTTTTTAAATAAACTTTACATTGCAAATTTCTTTCTCTGACTGTGCTTTCAGTTAACATTGCCTGGTCTTCTCTAATGAACATGTCAAGGAAGATTCTTCCTTC